GCTCCTGCGGCTCCGGCTGCTCCAGCTCTCGCCGCTTCCTGTCCCTGCTGTCCACATCCTGGACGGGGAAGGGGGGCAGTGAGAGGCCCTCCAGACACTGCGACCCTCAGGTGGCATCTCCGCCCCGCCACCCTCACACACTCCCCCCTGCTACATGACATCCCTCCCATGATCCACCCGGCCCACCCTGCCTAAGCCTCACCAGGCGGAGGATGTTGGGTCTTGGAGAGCAGATCCCTTTCTTCCCGGGGCCCTGTCCGCCCTCCAGCTCCACCCGCATGGGGTACAACAGCCACTTCCCATTGGCGATCTCGTGGGGCCACATGATGTTGAGGAAGGCAGAGCCCAGAGTGTTGAGCGACTGGCCTTGATTGGAGACCTAGGGGCCCAAAGCAGCGGAAAGAAACGAAGCTCAGGTCCTGAGCGGACCCCATGTCACAGAGAGAGGGGCGAGGCTGATGTGGGGGACCTCGGGAAGCACAACATCATCAAAGCCGCACAATCTAGACCAGACTGGGCATCGTTCTCGCCTCATACCAAACCAGGACAAGCTGGACAGGTGTGGGGGGGTCTGGGACAAGCCAGGGCAAAGTATTAAGGAAAGCTATAGACTCTGCCCAAGATCCCACTCCAGCTGGGGCCCCAGGAGACTCATCCCTCTGAGTTCTTTTTTTTTTTAAGATTTATTTATTTATTATGTATACAGTGTTCTGCCTGCATGTATCTCTGCAGGCCAGAAGAGGGCGCCAGATCTCATTACAGATGGTTGTGAGCCACCATGTGGCTGCTGGGAATTGAACTCAGGACCTCTGGAAGAGCAGCCAGTGCTCTTGACCACTGAGCCATCTCTCCAGCCCCTCCTCTGAGTTCTTAATGCCCCCCAGACCTGCAGATGAGATGGCCTGTGCAGATGACTCACAGAGACCCCAGCACCAACACGGGCTTAGAGTCACGTCTGCCCAGTGCAGAGGCCTGGAACCCCAGGGCCGCCACCATGCCTCCATGTGAGAAAAGAGCCCATACCTTGAGGCATGTCTCAGCAGCCTCTTCTCTGAGGCCGCACAGCAGGATGCTTACCGTGACCTCGTACTTGACCTTGCTGCCCACATCCCTCTCTGACCGCATGGCACTCTCACCCTTCACCTCGCCGGAGAAGAAGAGTTGCTGGGGAGTGGCCACCCTGGTTGTGGGGAGATGAGAGTGGGGAATGAGGGGGCCTGGGAGCTCCAGCCAAATGGAGCCAAAAGGGTAAGGCAGAACCAAAGCCACGCACTGGGAGCGGCAGAGGGACCCACGCAAGCAACGCCTACCCTGAAATGGACAGCGGCAACTCAATGAAGACGTGAGCTCGAACAGAGACCGGGTGCAGCTCCTGCTCACTGATCCTGGTAAGCAAACATGGGAACGTGGGGGCAGTCGGCACAGGAACCGCCACGAGGCACGTGAAGCCTCTCTAAGTAACCCAACCTGCCCACCTCCGGTCTTACGTGGCCAACAGAAGCTCCACCTCCAGCTCTGTGGTCTCGATCGTGATTCCAGAGGTGCTGAGGATGAGGTAGAAAGTGACCTGCCAAGTGTGGAAAGGCAGGTGAGTCAGGGGAGATGGGTCTTAAGGACGGGCCACTCAGACAGAGAAACAGCTAGATATGCCAACCTGGGCACCTCTCTTCATAGGGTTCCCCAGCTCACACTCGACATGAGAGGCATTCTCATTGGACAGGCAGAGCGGCTTCTCCTGGATCAGGGAGGGAAGGACAGGTCAGTTTGGGTTACTGAATCCCTCAAGGTCTCATCTCACGTGAATACACAATGGAGTTTTACTCAGTCATAAAGAACAAAACTATGTCTGGGCAGTGGTGGTGGTGGTGGTGGTGGTGGTGGTGGTGGTGGTGGTGGTGGTGGTGGTGGTGGTGGTAGTAGTAGTGGTGCACTCCTTTAATCCCAGCAC